AAGTTGATCTCTAATGGCCATGGAAGTTGCAGTGATCGCAGAATGGATGCCCCTTGGGGCGGCTGTTCGGTTTGGGCATGGTGGAGGGTGACTTTAACCGAGAAAAGCCAGGTTTGCTGACTGCCATAGCAGCCACATCAACCACATTTGGGGTTTGTTGCAGCAAATGTTTTTGTTGTTCTTCTTGAAGGACCATGTTGTAGGCTTTATTGAAGTTGGGCAAAGGGTCCATAGTTAGAATTTGGGTTCTAATCCAAGAGAAAGACTCATTCAAGCCCATAAAAAACGGGTAGACCTGCTCTTGATGTTGGCAAGTCATGAATACTTTGGACGAACCACAAGTGCATTCTGGAAGTTTTGAATAAGAGAGGAGTTCGTCCGAAAACATTTTGAGTTTGGTATAATATTCAACAACAGAGAGTTGCTCTTGTTGGAGAGTGACAAGAGATTTTTTTAAGAAAACAATACGAGGAGGATTACCACGCGAGAACTGTTCTTCAAGATCGGTCTAGACGGCTTGAGCAATGGCTGTGTAGGCAACACTATCGGCCAATATTTGAGAGAGACATTGAGAAGCCAAGATTGCACCATGAAGTTGTAACGTTGTCCAGCATTGACATCTGAATTAGGAGAGGTTGGTTTGGGGAGAGAGATATCACGTATTTGTTCTTCGCCCATAAAGCCATAAACATGGCTCTGTGCCATGTGTTGTAGTTCTCCCCAGTGATACGATGAGAGACCAGGGACATACCTGGATGATCCAAATAATTAAGATAATATGGAGAGGAGTAAGCGCCGTACAGATTTTGAATTTCTAACGGTTGGGGTTTCAGTGTGAGGGATGGAGTTCGTTGAAGGCATGATGACAAAAAAGAGATGTTGCGGGGAAGAAGCCGAACAGAGAAAAGTAAATACGAGGCTATAACAGAAGCAAGGTGAGAACAAGGGTGGGCACAGAACTATAAACAAGGTGCACGGTGATAGAGGTCATGCAATATGCAATAAACGAGGATAGAGAAAAAATAACAGAAGCAAAGCGAGAAATTTAATAGAAGAGAAGAAGCTTGTAATAGAGAAGGTAAAACTAGGAAGAAGACAAAATGAGATATTTAGTGAGAGAAGGTACCAGACTCAATACTAGAAAGAGAAGAAATCTACTTACAATTTGTGCTTTTTTTTAAATTTTTTTTTTATATATATTCGAGAGAATGAAAAGCCCTATAGAGAGGAATAGATCGAAGAGTAGATGAGTCTGAGTCACGACTAGACAGAAGGTCAGATTAGAGGCTCTGATACCATGTAGAAATCGTGATTTGAGAAAAATTTATTGTGTATTTTTCCATTCAATAGAAAAATAATATATACAGTTTACAAAATAAGTCTAAGTCCCTTAAAATCAGAGAGGAGCGTAAAGAGGAGCAAATAATACATCAATACCCAAAAGAATGGGTCAACCGTGAAACGATTGTGTTTATCCCATAATAATTAATAGATCAACCGTGAAACAGCTGTATTTATCCCATAACAAATCATTTGCAAGTTATTTTCCTGCACCATTTCACCCATCCAATTCAAGCACAGAGGTCCCCTTCCAAGTGAAGAAGGGGAGATCGGCTTCCAATTTACTTATTACATTTTGATATTACCCATGACAAACAAACTTTTCGTTACTTTTAACTATTGATTAAGATAAATAAATATTGGATCGGATCCAAAGTATATGCGCAGTTTCAACTTAGATTTCAAGAAGATGCGAAACGGAAAAGGCTAAATTTAAGAAGGCTGGTAAAAAAGGCTTAAAAATTGTAAAAGAAAATTAAGAATTGGCAAAAAAGAAAATAAATTTATAAAAAGCATTAAAATACTATAAACTATGGAGAATATTGTATAAAAAATGGAATAAGGAAAATTTTGGTTGATATCTTGAAGCAATTAAAAAAGGGAAAACTGGGAAAATAAAGGCTATAATATAAAAATTCACAAATCATGATAAAATACATACAAATTATATAGAAATACATACAACATTGATTGGTGATTTAGTAATATGAATTTTTACAAATAACAGAATTTCTATTACCCCATGTCTGTAACTAAAAAGCTCACCTCCGTACCTTGCTGAGGCCGAGTTACTAGAGGATCTAGCCGAGCTTTGAACACTAAAGGAAAGAGACCGATAAAAAATAGAAACATATTTTTGATAATACAAAAATTGTATTTATTTAGAATAGAATGGCACAGGTGGTGGGTGCCATAACGTGAATCACTTGAATTCCATTCTTACCAAAGGGAAAGAGACTCCTTCTTAATCTATCCAACAAAAAAATTACATTTATTTAGCAAAAATGGAATTGAGCATATGTGGAATTGTGATAAACAATCCCAAAAATCTACCACATATGCTCAATTGCTAAATAAATGAAAATTCTAGTCTTCACAAACTCCTTAAAATTCTATGATCTTCCCAAAAATCTCGAATTTTAGGAAAAATAGCACATTGGGTCACCCACTTTTCATATTGCCACCCATGGACTATGTACAAGACCCAAAACGCAGTGGGTGTTTAATGAAAAAATTGACTGTCCAATGGGCTCCCACTTGAAAGCTTCTGAACTATTCACTGAGCACAAAAATTCTCAGCACAAATCAAAATCCCTAAAACAACCCTTGTCCAGAGAAAAATGTCTTACAAATCAAATTTTACAAATTCTCTTTATAGAGAAATCTTGAACACATTCAAATTTTATAAAATTATGGCAAGTTTCCAATACCTTGTTTATGTTTACCAAGAACCAATTATATGGGATGTTATGATATAGTTTGATAGTGGTACTCCAAGAGATCATCTACCACCCATTTTTGTGTGTGAGAGAATCTCGACTAGCCTTGGATTAATTAACGAACGTGCTGTTACACCAAACATATTTTAATTCAATTTACCTAGGCTAGAATAAACATTGGTAGCAGTAAGACTAGCTCCGTTGATTACTGATACTAATCCTGATTTTGTTACAGGGTTTCGTCTAGAGTTTTTTCTGAACACCATTGCTTTTAATGCCCTAATTACCATTCAAATGTTGCCTATCTCCCCTCTTAATATTTCTAGTTCCCAATGTCCCAAAGTTTCAATTTTGTCGATCAATTAAACAGTATTTCCCTTTTTTAATGGCCACTTCTCTCTCTCTCTCTCTCTCCCCCACCCCCCAGCCCCCAAGGTGGTAACTAACTCATATTTTCGGTTCACCACATGCAAAATAGGTAACAAAAAGGAATATAAAGCAAAGAATCTAAAATAGGAAGATCGAATTGCTTGAGGCATTCACGAGGAAAGGAGCGCGAAGCAAAGAATCTAAAAGACGGAGATCGAATTGATTGAAACATGAAGATTTTCCGTCTTTAATGGAAAAAGGTTCTAAACTATGAGAATTGGGGCACCATACTAAAACAAACACGTTAATCAGATGTCACTGAAACTTCAGTAGGAATAGTAACCATTATTGCCCATATATCGATCGTATCCTCCCCACCGACCAGCACACAGAAAAACTGATCTTGTGGCTTCTAGTCTACACTGTCCATTTAAATGAGTGGTTCAAGAACAGTAGGAAGTACCTAAAATTTATGACTTGTAATCTACACTTTCCATTTAACTGAAGGGTTCAAGAAGGATGAGGAAGCAAATTCTGGAGTCTCTATCCAGGTACCAAAGGTTTTTCAATATGAAAAACTCCCTTTGTCCACACAGCAGAAAAAAAGGCTTCATCTATCTCTTGTTCTACCTCAGCTTTGTTTGCAAGAGAGAGTTCCTAATAGCTTTTATATATCTTGAAAAAGTACATTCTTTAAGTTTTCTTTTCATAACTTATAAGAGTACATTCTGTATGTTTTCTTTCCAGTAAATACTTGAGTAATTCATTCTGGAAATGGAAATTGATCAGTGTATGAACATGAAAGAATTTGAGCAGAGAAATATTGTAGACATTTAATGTTCATTCAACATACAGGGATTTCGTCATAAAATCATTTTGCCTTCTTTAGATCATTCCCTTGTTACTTTTTCTTATCTATATATGGATGGTAAATGGTTACTATGAAAATCATCTGCATGATCATTTTTATCTGCTTAGATTGAATCCACTTTATGGGATTGCGATTGCTGTTGCCCAAAAGGGACATGCCATAATATGCTTCATTGTAAACTATGTTACAAAGATATGGATACGTGTGTTGGTGCCTAACACGAATATGAGTGTAAATGAGAGCAACCCGAATATTGGCATTTCACACACATCTTGTACATCAAGACCAACGAGGAAGTGGCGTTTAAGTGACATTAAAGTACATTTACATTGAAATTTCAACAAAAAAAATTTATAACAAGTATCTAAGTTTCTAAAGTTTAAGACATGAGTGTGATATCCTAAGTAACATCAACATATGCCAAAACTATTGACAGGTGTATCACTTAAAATAGGTAGTAAGCATATTGAAAACTCCTAACAAGTATATTAAAATATCCTAAACATATCTTTTCTTTCGTGCACCGACCCCAAAAACATGTCCATTTGTAGGTCTCTGAGGTGGAGATGAACCTACTTACTACTGATTGCTTTTGGTTTGATAGTAATATTCCATGCAGGTACATACACTTTTAACATCTAGCATTTATAAGTCATCCGAATGATTGTGTGAAAGCTAGTACAATTGTTAGCATGTATGCATTAATAGTAGTCATTAGTTGGGGAGAAACCTAAGGGCCTAGAGAAACATTATACTGAATGTGTGAAAGCTGCTCTAAAAAGAGAGAATAAAAAGAAATGGAGGTACAATGAGAGTGTTGTGAGAATTAATAAAGATGAACTAGCAATCAAAACTTATGAAATTGTATTAATAAAGATGAACTAGCAAGCAACACTTATGAAATTGTAAACTTCATACTGTACTTAATAGAACAAGTCACAACATGAAATAATGGCCAATAAGACCATACTATTGACTGAAAAATGAAGTCTTAGTTTCTTCTTGAGTATTAATACTGAACAACAGAAATTAAATCATGAAAACTGATAGTTTTTCTCCTTTGAAGTATGTTTCTTCATGTTCACAGACAACAATGTATGAGACCCCATGGAGATCCACATCGGTAGCAAAATTCATACTTGCATCTGCAAAAATGAAAAAGAGAGGGAATTAGGATAAATCTTTTACTATCTGTAAATGTAAAAGGAAATGTATTCCGTACAGGTATTGTGCATAAACGATCTAGGGACACATGCAATCAACAGGTTAGAGCAGTAAGTTGAACAGGCCGCTATTTGCGAAATATAAATTTCAAAACAAAACATTGAAAACTAAAATCTTCGAGCGCAATTAAAAGCATCAACATTAGGAGGACAATTATCATAAAAAGATTGGAAGGAAAACAGTGGAAGGTAGAAATAACAAAGAGAATAAGCGAATGTCCAGTTCACTGCATCAAAGGAAACTCCTATATCATGTATTTTTTCTTTAAGTGAATGACAAGAGATAACCCTATCAAATAGACCCATTTAATCTTTGTCATAGAAAATTAAGTCACTAACCCAAATATAAGTTTCAAAACACAACAAAACACCACAATATAAAGAAAGACAAGCAAAATTCTCATGGCCTATTAAAAATACTATTGTTTTGTTTTTGGGCATGTTTTTTAAGCATGTAATTGTGGGGCATTACAGCTAACTGGCCAGTAGAATAGTAACAGTAACATAATAGTAACTGCCATTACAACAAAAATAACAAGAAATTATTTGGGATTCATTTGAGATTCTCATCATCACCATCCAATTACTATTTCCCAATGAAGAATATTATAGATCTTTCATTGTAACTATTAAACATCAATGACATCCATGACAAGGATTAGACAATGGGGCCGGAATTGTAGTTGCATCGTATCTGAGGTTATAGGACCTTGTCTTACGGATCATTTCCCATTATGCTTAAAAAGAAATAAGCAATAATGGCAACTTTCAAAATAACATTGATATGACATACATAATATATCTGTCAGCAAAGTTCCATATAACTCATAATACATGACCTAGAGGGCTAGGATTCATTTCGAAAAGTAATGAAAATCAAGGACACTATGACTTATCATGCAAACTTCGAGTTTTTATCTAGCAGGCGTTACACATTTTCCTAACAAGGGTCATTATCATTACCTCTCACTTTCCGTAGACCATGGATTTGGATATGTTAGTTCTCAGCCAGTGCAATGCACATGCAAGAGCGGAGAGCTTAAGGTCTAGATTTTGGAAAAGAATAGAATTCAGTATGCATTGGCTGAAATAAATTTGAAAAGAGATCTTAAAAAAGATAAAAATTTAGTAGCTTAATCATGGGAGATATAAACCCAAATTTAGGAATACAATAGGAGAAGAATTACATGTTGCTTTTCCTTGTTGTTGAGGTATCCTCTTTTTTGGATTATGAGTCCTTTAGTGAAGACAAATCAAAGTCCCTGATTGTCTAGATTAGCCCAACTAACCGTAGTGGAAGTTCTACATACATATTTGAGATCTAGAATGCATTATAGACTATAATCAAGCAAAGATTAAAATATTCTAGTGAAGCATAAGCACCATCTAAGCTTGAAACAGTCACTAATAAAAAAGATAAAGATAAATTTCAAACTTTCTTATAGAAACAAGTCCATGAAAATGTAAAGTATACCTGCAAGTCATATGATCACAACCTGCCTTCCTTTCCACATAATACTTACAGAGAGGGCACCTTTTCCAGTTTTTCTCCTCTGCCAGCTCAGAAAACAAAATGTCATGCTCCTTATTACCTCTCACCTCCTCGAACTCTTCACAGTTCATTTCTGAATGCCATGGTACATTACATTGAGCACAAAAAAGCCTCCTACAATAAGGGCATTCACTCTCCCTTATGTTGCCATCATTGACCGCATCAAACTCCAAAAGCCCAGAACAATCCCTAAAGGGGCAATAGTACTTGTTGATGACCAATATAGAATCCTCAGATAGTACATCGCACCATCGCTGAAAAACACTCTCTGGAACATAGGGCTTGCAACTTCCTATCTCTAAAACTTGGTTACAAGAAGGATTGGGGCACGAAATTATGGTGAAATTCTCTTGTAATTTTGAAGCTATGTGTTTTGCAATACACTCATTGCAATAGCTGTGAAAGCATGTTGGGTTTGAGAAAATCTCTTCATGGGATTTATGATCCATGCATATCTCACAGAAATAACCCGATGATGATGGAACAGTTTTTCTCTTCCTGTTGGGGACTTTGTCTTTAAGTATAGAGTAAGGACCGTTTTCTTCAGTGAGATCAATGATGAGGACTTCATCAGAAGAGAATGCGGGCCTTTTTCCAAGGAACGAGACATTACTTTCACCAGAATTTGAATGAGAAAGAGAGGCTTCTTCAGTGGGCAAGGTGCGGCTTTCACCCGAGAGAGAGTCATGTAGCCCAACAAGGGTTTGGCTTGTATCACTAAGCAAGTTGGGATATGTATCAGAGAGAGAGTAGGAACTATCATAGTGAGAAAGAAAGTCGAGAATTTTTTCAAGGGGGGTTTCTCTTGTACAACTAAGCATGACGCGGCTTTCAGTAGAAAGAAAATCGGGAATAGAGGCTTGCGAGAAGCTGGGATGTATAGGATGGGAGATTTGGTTTGTATCGCTAGCAAAGTTTGGCTTTTCATCAGAGAGAAGGTTAGTACCAGTCAGTTCAGGAGAGCAAACATTCGGAATAGTCTGTTGGGAGAGAGAGTTTGGATTTGGAAAGCTAGGAATTTCGGCTGGGTAACTTTGGCTTGTGCCATAGGGATAGTTAGTGGCTTCATCACTCTGTAATTTAAGGATTACATCCAACAAAGTCATTGGCCTTGTAACATCGAATGGAGTGGCGGGGCAGATATCACAAAGGATGTTAGGATTTGTAACAGCTGATGAGCTTGAACTGGAGCATGAGCTAAAGAACATGCTAGGGCTTGGACCAGAAAGGAAGCCAGGACTTGTAGCAGAAATTGGGCTCTTATCACGGGATGAGGCCAGGCTTGAACCAAAAAGGAAGCTAGGAGTTGTAGTAGAAATTGGGCTCTTATTACGTGATGAGGCCAGGCTTGAACCAGAAGGGAAGTCAAGACTTGCACCAGAAATTGGGCTCTTGTCACTCGATGAGGCCAGGCTTGAAGCAAAAGGAAAGTCAGGACTCGTAGCAGAAATTTGGCACTTCGTACATGATGAGTCCATGCCTGAACCACAAAGAGAAGTAGGACTTGCAGTAGAATTCGGGGTATTATGACACAACGACTCCAAGCTTTTCCCAAAGAGGAAGTTACAGCTTTTAGTATAGATGGATATTGATGGTCTCCCGTTGAGTGAGGTGAGGCTTTGATCAGTAAGGAGGTTTGGAGCAGTAATAGAGGAAGAGGTTGAGCTGGCACTATAGCTTAAGGTGGGGCTTGAAATAGAAGTGATTGGGTTTGCAGCATTCAGCAAAGAGGGGCTTTTAGTTGAGAACAAATTCAGGCAGGTCACAGAGGAAGAGCGTGAGCTTGGACTTAGAAAGCTGGGACTAGCTGTAGAGGAAGAGATTGAGCTGGTGCTGTTGAGCAAAGTGGGGTTTGAACTATAAAGAGAGGTGGAGCTCGTAGCAGTACTACAAGTAAGGCAAGGACTTGTAGTAGAGGAGGAGACTGAGCTGGTACCATGGAGCAAAGTGGGACTCTTCATAGAGAACATATTAGGGTTTGTCATGCAAGAAGGAATTTTCCTTGCACTATTTGTAGTACCAGAAATAAGGAAAGGACTTGTAACATAGGAAGAGATTGAGCTGGTACCATGGAGCAAAGAAGGGCTTCCATTAGAGAACATATTAGGGTTTGTCACAGAAGAAGAACTTGAACTTGCATTATGGAGTGAGACGGGGCGGCTTGCATGCGAGAGATTTTTCGGAATTCTAGTAGAGGCAAAAATTTGGCTTGGAGCATTGAGCAATCCCGATCTAGAATTTTCCTTAGAGAACGAATTAGGAGTAGGCCCCGAGGAAGAAAATGAGCCTGTTCCATTGATCTCTGTGGGAACATCATTAGAGAGGAGACTAGGAATTGTAGAAGAGATTGGACTTGTATCATTGTGCATGTATGTGCTTTTACCAGAAACCATATTTGGACTCATCATAGACCAAAATTGTGGATGCAGCTTAGATAAAAAATAGATTGTCTATGCAAATGAGATTAGGGTTTTCCTATAAAAGAAACATTGTGCATGCAAAAGAGATTAAGGTTTTCCTCGTTGTGCATGCAAATGAGATTGGGATTTGTTATAGACGAAGACAGATTGCGCATGCAAATGAGATTAGGATCTATTACAGAAGAAGAGAGTGCATTCAAATGAGATCAAGAGAATATGCATGCAATAGGCCTTGCTAGAAAGGGAACTAAGATTTATAAAAAGAGGAGAGAGATTGAAAAAAAAAAAAGTCAGGACTTATACCAGAGACAGGTAAGAGCTTGTACCTTAAACAGAGGCGAGGCCTTTAAGTTGGGGTTTTTAGAGGGGGAAATGGAGTCTACATAGAATAGAGTATAGCTCTTACCTGGAGGTGGGCAATGGCATTTCTCTGCAGAAAGAAAGAGGTGAGAGAGAGACAAGGTTGATCTCTAGATAGAGAAGCGGCTATGAAAATGAGGAGGACCTCTTCTCTTTCTCCATGGGAGTTTTTGACCTAGAAACAGAAGAGATTATGTCTGGGTACTCTGCACTAGACTTAATGGTTGGAAAGATATTTCTAGAGACTGACAGTGAGACTGCCACTTATATCGAAAGGAGAGAGAGTGTCTGGTACTTTTAGACAGAGAATGAGATGTACTTTTACAGAAAAAAAGAGAGGTAATTTCAGAGAGAGAAGATCATTTTAGGGTTGCGTTCCGAAAGATTCAAAAGTTAACGGCGGTAATTAACGAGGGACATGACTTTTAACATTGAGACAACGACTTTAAATTAGTTCGTTTTCATTTTCAGTTATGTAAAGTGCCCCATAAATTAGGAGACATTCACATACGACAACATTATTAAAATAAAACTGGTATTTTTTCTATTTTTTTTTGGGGTGAGTCCGTGGGGAGGTTTTTTCTTCTTTTTTTTTTTTGGCTGTGGGGGGAGGCCTCTATCTTTGGTAGGAATTGAGCCTAGATCGTAGGCTTGGGATGGTCCCTACTGCCTCCCATAAGGTTGCGATCAGACTTTTTTTTAAATATAAGCAATTTCTATTGGGCAAGCTTTCTATATTTCCTCTACAATATAAAACTTATATACATTCTGAATGGAGGGCTAAGATTGCTCTAATCACAATGTCACGTCTCTACACTATTTTATTTTTAATGTTTTTTTATAAACTATTTTGATCCAAATTTTGGACATCCAATCCTCTATTAAACTCGCACTAGTGAAAAATATAAAACAAATATTTCCAATAAAATAAAATGACCAAAATACCCCTAAAAGATTCAAGGGGTATTTTGATCATTATATTTTATCAAAAAATTATTTTTAATATTTTTTATAGGTGCGCCCCAAGGAGAAGATGTCAAATACCAAATTTCATATTCATACCATTTTTATAAAAAAAAAACTAAAAATAAAATACTTTGAGATGTCAAATTTTAGATCAAACGGTGAGTGGCTCTCTTGATCAAAATTGGACGGTTGGATGGTAGGGGAATCATAGATCTTCTATGTTGTAGAGGAAGTATAGAATTATACATAAGAGTAATTTACAACAAAAGTCAATTTTGAGCAAAAATTACGCAGAAGGTCGGTCAACTTACATTTTTTAATTTTTTATTTTTAAAATTGCCTCGAGGTCTGCTTTTTATTTATTTATTTGGCTTTGTTTGTTAGTAGGGCAGTGCCCTAGAGTGAGGAGCAGTGCCTAGTCTAGAAGACATTCCGACATTAGCATCCTCAGACCTCCTTAGTTCTTAACAAACAAATGAGCTAATGCAGTCCAAGGATACAACCCTCTGCCATGAAGAGCACCAGAGAAGGTGGTCCGAAAATGGGCAGCTCAAACCGTTGACTGGATATTGCCCCAAACATTAGGGCACGACCCTACTATCGAAAAAAACTCAAAAAAATAAAATAAAATGTGGCTCGAGGATGCCCTCCTCGGACCAAAGGGCAAATTTGAAAAAAGGTAAAAGTTCATGTTAACTAACCTTCTACGTAATTTTAACTCAAAACTGACTCATTTTGTATTTTAGTGTTGTTTTTAATGTCCTTACATAATTCACTATATAAACAATTAGAAAATTAATTAAAAATTAAAAATAAATAAATAAAATAAAATATTAAGTAAACCGATTGAAAAGTTGGTTAAATTTATTCTATTTTTTGGAAATTATTATAAAAAACCACTCGTGCAAACCATTAAATATTTGATTTTAATATTTAGTAAATTATCACGATTCTAATGCAAAAATTCATCTATCATAGGCCATCACTATTCATAAGTTGTTATTGTTCATCCACACAAGCAGGGTCCATTTTAGTTCTTCTGCTATTAGAAAAAGTGGCCCATCCGATGGCAGCAGCAGACATCTTGAGCAAAATAGTTTAGGAACTGGAAAAGCAAATCAAATTCATGATACTATTAAATAAGACCAAATTTGAAAAATAACACACTTTAACAATGCCTTAAGGGGGTGTTGCTACAGAATTTAGAGACAGAATTACTCAAATAATTAAGAAAAACATGCATCTACATCTAAGTGTAAAATCAGAACAAGCAATTTAAGAACTATTATCTACATAAAGGACATAACAAAACAGACAATTTGTGAAATCTTTCATACCCACTATTGAGAATCATCATCATCAAAGCTGTTTTCTAATTAATTGGGGTCGGCACTATTAAAAACCAAAACAAGCTATTTTTAAGAACTAATAGGTATATAAACACTATCAACGCACAGCAAGTGCAAATCTCACTGTATTGACCCAAAAAGAGTGTGAACGAAACAAAACCATTACTGTTGCTCGGAATCTGTAAGTTATTCTGGATAAATCAAAGCAGAATCCTTCACAAATGGAAAAGAAACTCAAAGATACAAGTGAATAGCAAAAGAATGCACCTGCTAAAACAATAATAAAGTAAACCACTAAGCCCAAATTGCATACAGGACTAGAGAGAGAGGAGGGTAAATTTCTTTCAAATATCCATCTAGGTAACAACGAAACCTTACCAAGATAGGGAAATAAGTTTTTTGGAAAAAAAAGAAAAATGCAGAAAAAAAATAAAATATAGAGCAAGAAAAAAAGTAAAAATTACCTTTAACCATTTAGGGTGAATTTTTGCTAAGATCTTCGATAGAGATTTTGGAAATAAAATAAAAATAAAAATAAGCAAAAGCAGATAAGAAAGCAAGAAAAAAATTTCCTTGTCTTTTAGGGTGACGATTTTTACCAAGGTCTTGGATAAAGATTTTGGATATGAAAATACAGTGTGCAATCAGAGATTCAAAATGGAAAAAAGTTTTGGAAATAAAAGAAATTTTGGACAAAAGATTCTTGGATAGAGATTTTGGAAATAAAATAAAAAAAAAAAATACAGAAAAAGCATGACGAAATAAAAAGCAATAAAAAATTTCCTGTAACCATTTACGGTGACGATTTTTGTTGAAAATTTATGGAAGCGTTGGTATAATAATTTGATCGAAAAATAGCAAAAAAAGATAATAGGGTGAAGAGAAAGCAGTATTCACGCATAAACAAAATTTCACTTTTATATTTGAAATAAAAGATATGACATATTACAGTTATATAGTTTGATATGGAAGTTTGATATGGAAGACCACATTTACATTTGACACGTTTTTTGGTTCTCCCTTC